AAACCTTCAAAAAATCAAATGTTTTTATATTCCCATCCCAACAGACTTTTATGAATAAATACACACCACATACTTTTGTAAATCACTAATTAAAATAAACAGTATCTTTTCCAAACACCAGCATTCTTATATATTTCATAGTTATATTCTTAAACTATTCATTAGTTCAAGGGCTGTTAAAATTGTTTTCACATTGAGCCTTGACAGCAGATCTTCACAAATGAAGTGTATGCGAATTTTGATCATTAAAAAACTCAAACTTTCCTAATTGCAAAGATCAAACCTCGAGCAATATCTTGTTATTGAATTAACTCAAAACTTTAGTTTCTTTAAATTTTCTCATGAAGCTGTTTTGTGAGCAGAGTCAAATTCTAAATTTAAAATTATGTAACTTAATGTTCTGTTTTGTTTTTTTCATGTGCAATGTGTCAAAAATCAATGATCAATAAAATATAATAACTTAAGATAACCAATATTTTCCTACTATTTTAGACATTCAAGATAAAATTAAAATGATCATCTGGATCACTAATTAACTCATATTTGTTTGAATCCTCCTTTTAAAAAAAATATTATTTGTTGAATTTATAAAAAAATATTAATGATGCTTTATGTAAGCTTAAATACCACAAAATGTAAACAACATTCATTTTACTGAGTAATTTTCTCTGATACTATCATAATTTCATCGTAGAATTTAATCCAATATGTTTGTGAACTATATGCTAATAAAATATGTTCTCTCTTTATTATTAATCAAGCAATACCTATGTGTGAATTTGAAAAATATCCAGAATTATTGTCTATATGTTTTTAAATAATAAATATAAATAATAAGAATATACATGAATACAGAATAATCAATGAATTTTCAATTGAAATTTAATATATTTGAAATTTAATAAATCTATTCTCATGTATATTCATATGTTTGGAATTTGCAATCATATAAAACTTCAATGTAAAATTTCCTTTTCATGCGGATATAGATGAAAGGTACACAATATGCCTTTCAGGCAAATAAGATACGTAGTTTGGCAGCTGATTCCAGCATCCAACAAATAAATACTGGTTCTGAACAATGATAATTGCACAAAGTATGATATAAATTTAAAAAATTACAAATTAAAGATATCGGAGCATTTGAAACATTTAAATTTCCAATGACTTAGAATAATAAAAATTGAATGGATTAATTATTCTAAAAAATAATATATGCTTACTTATTACACGCAATTTAAAACAAGTATAAATCAAAATATCAAAAAACGAAGTGAAATTATTGGATATTGGATTTATAGCTCAAATTATAAAATAAAATAAAATAATAAACCTACTTATTGATTGTTTTCAAAAACGATATTGAATGAATATAGAGTATTCAATAATATTTGATATCCTTGCAAAAGTTTTGTCTATAGTTTGAAATTGACTTCAAGAGTATAAAAAATTAAGAAGATGATTATGAGCATGTATATAGACATGTATTATAATTCAAAAAAAATGTTAATATTGTATATGCATGACCAAAATTATCAAAATAAATCTATACATATAGGTTTATTAACATAAAAAATATTTCATCACATAAACATACTAAAAAATATTAACTATTGCAACCAAATTCATAATTAAGTTGATAATAATAAGATATAATTAATTTAATTTTTTTTCCATAAAATAAAAAACACACATTTGGGATAAATAACACGGATTGAGTTTAAATAGATTATTATTTTAAATAAACCTGATTGTAAATTCTAGCAAATAATATAATATATATGTGAAGTTCAATTAAATTATTCTTACAGGAAATTTTTTCATGGATTGATATCTGTTATATGTGCCGAAAAAAAATCCATTAATTTTGTTCCCGCTATTTTATAAATAAATTTTATTTTAATAAATAAATTATTTTCATAATATTTAAGATTTTTATCTTAATCATTTGTTTATAGTTTTCATGGTATGAAAATATGGTGTTATTTGCGATATATTTTGGTGAAATTTCTATTTGTTTGAAGAATTCAAGCAAACGTGGATATGTGGACTGAAATGTTAATTAAAATTTTAAAAAATTTATTAGTTTTTTTATTGATAATTTAATATCTTTTCTAAAATTCCTTTTCAATTATTACTATGAAATAAAAATTACTAACAGTAAGTCATTCAACTGAATTATTTTTATCATTAACATTTCTTGTGTCATCTATATAAGACATGTGTAAATTGTAGAGTCGAAAACATATATAAGATTATTTTGAACATGTTCACATTTATAATCTTTATATCTTATTTCAAATGATATCATCAATGTTGCAGTAGTAAAATGGATTTAGATGGATTTTGTCATTATACACAAATATTTTTATTTAAAGAAAAATCAGTCAATAAGTACATAATTTGATTTATTATTTATTTAATTATAAAGAATTATATCAATAAAATTAAGAATTGTAATTTAGAAATGTATTTATATATATAAAATTATATATACTTACAAACATGTTAATTATAATGTACCAAATATAATCTATTCTTGAAATTCTATATAGACATATAGAATTTCAAAATTTACTATCTCTAATAATGGATTTTGTTATTGTATACATGTTATTAGATATTTCTCACAACTGATGTATCATGTATTATATTTCAATTACATGATTTTGATTTATTGAAAATATCTCTTTATCATCTATAGTGTTGCTACATTTCTATAGAGTTTATCTATATCTATATAATTTAATTTCAGATTTATTAGATTTATGGTTAATTCTATAAACTAAATATACAGTATTTTCAGTTTAGTGTCAATGATATATTGTTCATTTCGAAGTAAAATATTAATCTGACCGACCAAATTCACAGTAAGCCAGACTCTACTCTGATCTTGCTTTCTCTGACTCCGCTGTGCTTTCCAGGCGCGGCGAGCGCTCACCCCTCACTAGGTAGAAGTCAGAAGACTTTCAAGGTTTTCTGATCCACCTCCATCTCCGCGCCCGCGGAGATGGAGGTGGATTAGAGACCCTCAATTTGAAACCCTGGACCCCGAATTAGCCGGTGGATGCGTGGAAATTTAGAGATTTTGTTAGAGATTTTGATTTGAATTGGAGCTTTCTTTAAAAGATGATAAAATTTTCTGGGTTAATTTACATTAAATTAAGAATAATATTTATCCATCATTTGAAAAACCCAAAATCAAGAATTTATTAGTTATTTCATTTCATATAAAATGAAAAATTTAAAATTAAGGAATAGTTTATTAATTAAATTAACATAAATAATTAAGATTAAATTTAAATAATCTTGAAAAAATTGAATTTTTTTTATAAATTTGTTCAAGATTATAAATTTTTTAAAAAATGCGTTTTCTATCTTATTTAATGAAGGATGGAGATTCAATTTTCTATATTTGCAGTGCTTTATATTTATTCTTGACATTTCATTTCCAGTTTCCGGGAATAAAGTAGATTTATACACCACCCTAAAAAAAGAGTCTACAATGAAGCAATCGAATCAAGTCTGATATGATTGTGATTTGCGCATTCTTCTCTTATTTCTTCTATTCTTCTATTCTTCTCTTATCTCTTAATTTTAATTTACAATTCCGCTAGCTGTGGTTTAATTTTTGTAATGTTGGTAACTAGGTCAAGGTTCATTTGTGGTTATCTATGGATGCAAGTTCAAATTTGTTTTTGTCCTGGTGATTATTTGACCGTATCCTCTTTATGAAAATACTAGTTCACCTAGAAAGGGTTTTACGATTGTGAAGCAAAAATATATTTACCTGAGCAGGTATTTATTCCACTTAAAAAAATATTTGGCATCCTAAGATTGGCTAGAGGGGAATCAAAATTTTCCATTCTATTAGAATCTTCCTATCAGCGCATGGGTTGGCTGCGGTAGTCCTTGTGTTGGTTCCTCCTATTTACATTGTGGTGGAATAAATGTGCAAATTTTAAATTTTGGTCCGACGTGATTTCTTATCCACTCAAACACATTCGTCCTCCTCACAATCATCAGGGATCTTTGCACAATATCATAACAACAGGCTGGACATATGTTAACCAGGGAATACGAAGAAGCATATCAGTGAGCACCCAACTTGTAGTACATCGCTGGTTAGACATTACATTCATCTAATGGAAATGCAGCTCATTTGTGTGAAGATCATGCATGTGCATGGATTACATATGTTGTCGTTCGTCTCGTTGGTTATATCAGATCAAACCGGTCAGTTGCCCGGGGCGAAGAATCAGACATGGCCCGTTGAAACCAAGGGAACACCAGAAGTAACGCGGTCATTGGAAGGACGGAAGAAGAAAAAGGACGAAAGTCGAAAGTTGAAAGAATGCATACGTTTGCAGGCCTGCCTGGTCAGTACGCTGCCGTACTCAACAGGTCAGGATTGGAACTCCGGTTCGAGACTTGAAGACCAAGGTAAGGATAGGTCAAGACAAAGCAAGGGAAAGGACCAGCAAGAAAGGCAAATCAAAGCCCGCCAGGAGTAGATTCAGGTTCGGTGCGAGCTCTAGAATGCGAGGTCGTATTTGACCGAGCTAGAGTTAAGGCGCGGCCCCTCCCTCAGCTCAGGTCATGTGGCCTCGGCTCGGGCCGCAACGCACCGGCGCCACCAGCAGCACCTCTGTCAATCTCCTCCCTCCTCCTCCTCCTCCTGCTCTTCGTCGTCCACAGGCGATGAAAGCTTGTCGCTCCACCCGTCCCTCTAACCGGGGACGGTGCCGGAGTCCTAGAGCGGGACGCTTCCCAGCTGGCATGGCGCGACGGGGGAGGCGGGCATCGAACAGAACGATGCGATGAGGCACGGTGGGGTAAGGGTAATGGTAAGGTAAGGGGATGTAACTCTGTTCGACATCGGTTAGCAGAGTCTTCTTCGTGCGGGAAACCCTAAAGAAGAAGAGGAGGAGGAGACGAAACTTCACGAAAGGCGAAGGGCAGGGAGGGAGGGAGGGAGGGAGGCAGGGCAGGGCAGGGCAGGGCAGGGCAAGAGCTAGGGAAGGGAGGGAGGAAGGGCAGGGAAGGGGAGAGGAGAGGAGGGGAGGGCAGGAGGTGCGTGCGTGTGGACGATAAGAAGGCGAGGCATTGGTGACGGCGGAGCTGGCTGGTTCACTCTCTCTCGCGCTCTCAAGTTCTCCGCGACTCTCTGGGTGCTTCGGGGGGTTTTCTCAAATCGTCATAACCTGCTTCTTCTGGTGTGAGATTTGTCATTCGTTTTCCACAGCTCTGTGGTGTGTTTGTGTCGCCCGCCCGACATCTGCAACTCCATTGCTGTCGCCACCACCGCTAACGAGTGACGGGGAGCGAATGCAATCTTTTCCATCTGCTGCGTGCGCTTCATAACTGCTGCCTGGCGCGTCGTTCTTGCAAGGGGTTCATCCGTCTCCAGGGTTTCGTCGGGTCCCGAGGGTGTAGCTTCACGCATCTGGACAGCGAATCGATTGATTTCGGTGGGGAGGGAAGCAGAGGAGAGAGGAAGAGGTGACGCCTCGGAGGGTTCGGTGGCACATCGAGGGATCTGAACGGAATCTCTGTCGCTCACTGGCTTGCTCGAACGATTCTCTGCCTGATTGATCGAGTGGTTGGTTGATCGACTAACTGGCCGATTGATCGAGAGATTTGTGTGTGTTTGTGTGTGTTTGTGTGACCAAGCGGGAGCGGTGGCGAAGGGAGGGGTGAGTGAAATGGCTGGAAGGCAGTGTTGAGAGGTAACAAGCTGCAGCAGCGAGCTGCAGGAAGAAGTTGAGCGCATACATGAGTTGGTGCCAGGCATGCAGCGGAGCTCTACAAGGCCGGTGTTCAGGCGTGGAGACGTCGGTTTGGGACAGTTGGTGCGAGGATAATAATGACCTGCGGCATCTGTGGTTTGCCCCTTCTTGTTGCAACAGCGAGATTGGTTTGAGCGTCGGAGCAGAGGGGAACAGGACCTCATCCAGGCTGTGCAACAGATGCCGTGAAAAGCTCGACGGAGCTAAGCAAAAAGATCAATTGCAGAAATGGCGCTTCAGAACATTGGTGCCGGTAACCGGGATGACGCCTTCTACCGGTATAAGATGCCTCGATTGGTGACGAAGATCGAAGGCCGAGGGAATGGTATCAAGACCAATGTGGTCAACATGGTGGAAGTGGCTAAGGCTTTAGCCCGGCCTCCTGCGTACACCACGAAGTTCTTTGGGTGCGAGCTTGGGGCGCAATCCAAGTTCGATGACAAGACTGGCACGTCCATTGTCAACGGTGCGCACGAGACCTCCAAACTTGCTAGCTTGTTGGAGATCTTCATCAAGAAGTACGTCCAGTGCTATGGATGTGGCAATCCGGAGACCACCATCAACATCAGCAAGAGTCAGACCATAACAATGAAGTGCGCTGCATGTGGTTATCTGTCCGATGTGGACATGCGCGATAAACTCACAACTTTCATTCTGAAGAATCCTCCTGAACCGAAGAAGGGAGGTAAGAAGGATAAGCTGAGAAGAGCAGAGAAAGAGCGATTGAAGGAGGGTGAAGCCGCGGATAAGGCTAAAAAGGAGTTGAAAAAGAAGAAGGACGAATCGAAGGTTGTGAAGAAGAAATCCGGCTCTGACGAGGAGTTGTCTAGTCAGGGAGATGAGGAGGAAGTTGCCGAGGCGGAAGAGGACGATGGTGTGGAATGGCAAACTGATACTTCCGCCGAGGCCGCCAAGCGACGTATTGAAGAACAACTCACTGCTGCAACAAGCGAGATGGTGATGATTGACGAGGAAGCCGTGAACCCCGTGTCTCCGACGACCAAGGCCTCTAAGGAGAATAAGCCCAAGTTGCTGAGGAAGTCATCTTCCAAGAAGGTCGAGGTTGTTGTGCCGGAGGAACCTCTCGAGGTTCTTCCTAAGTTGGAAGAGTTAAGTCTCTACAGCATCCTTGTGAACGAGTTCAAGGAATGTCTACAGAAGGGTTTTACTCCATCTGAACTCGCCACCTATATGCAGAGGAAGGAAGAGCCCAAAGATGAACTGATGAATGCCTATTTCGAGGCATTATTTGGAGGCTTTGTTAAAGGAATTTCGAAGGAAGTCAAGGAGAAGAAGCTGTATCTCGCGAAAGTTGCTACGGATGAGGCTTCACAGCTGCTGCTCTTGAGCACTCTAGAGACGTTCTGCGCACCCTGCACCCCTGAGGTAGGAAAGGAGATCGCTTTCATTCTCAAAGTGTTATACGATGAAGATATTCTGGAGGAGGATCAGATTCTAGAGTGGTTCGACAGTAACGAAGGGATCAACCCAAAGTCGGCTCTTGTGCGCAAATTAGCCCAGCCGTTCGTTGCTTGGCTTCGTGATGCGGAAGCCGATGAGGAGGAAGATGAAGAGGAGTGAACTTGTCCTTCTTCGGATCGATCACTTCATCTCGGGCAGGGCGTCGTTACTGTTTTTTGTTCTTTGCCATCAGAAGCTGACCCGAGGGTGCTGTTCTTGTGGTTAGACTCACTTTTACACCCACGATTCTCCTGTGCCGTCTAGCTGGTTTACTGTAGCTAGTAAATGCACATCACCTCTTGTTGGCCAATTTGAAGAGGAGCCCATCAAGATGCAGTTGGCATTAATGTGTGTTGTTTCTAGTAATATTGAGGGACTGAGGTCCAACCTTCTATATTCATTTGTGACGAAGTTATCAGTCGTTTTCTAATATCACTTTCATTTCTGTCTGAATGGAATTGCTTAGATGATCATATGTCTATCTCACCCTTGCATCACATCCTACCCTGCAGTGTACTTCTTTCTAAATTATGTACCTGACTGTCGGTTGTGCTTGGCATACGAAAGGAAGTAATGAGAGTGTTTGCGGGTATTGTGCCACCATTGTCCGTGTTGCGATTATTGGGCATGTACTGCTTCTACCCTCACTTGAGGGGAAGCTATTTGCACTGAGGCAGATTTGTCCGCCCAAATAGGGAATATACTAGTGAGAGGATATATATCGTTCCGTGGGAAGTCGACAATTATAGGTAAACTCGTGGAATGGAACATTAAATTCTCGGATGTGGTTTTCTACGAAACACATTTCGCGAAGTTCGTATTGAATCAGAAGGTAGGATAAATCTAATGAGTTGATACAGTGAAATAATCGAGAAAAATGTTTTCTAAACAAACGCCTGATTAGTTGCATCTGAAAATACTTTCATGTCAGATTATATGGACGAAGTATCCACAAATACAATTTTCTGCACGTAGCGGTAAATTATGTGTGTTGTGCAGATTATTTCTACATGAATGTTTGATCGACGCCAGTGGTACGTGGAGAATGTGAAGTGTATGAGTTTGTCCCCGTGATTATGCACAGTACTATGGAACTACAAGAAATATTTAGAGGAAGGAGTATGTTGTGTGACATTTGCTTACCTCGTAGACCTTAAATGCGGAAGCAAGTTCCGTCAACCATAGATGATTCAAACTTTTTGACTGGAGTGAATGTGTGTAAATCAATTCAATGGTTGTCCTAGCTGCATATGTTGTGAAGACTTGCCTTCTGAGCAAAAGTTTTATGGAAAAACATGTTTCAATAAGATTATAACGTACAGGCGACGACGGTAATTTCCGTCCTGATGATGCATTGAATACAAAAGATTTTGTTTATTCTGAGCCATTTGCCTGTGCGGAGGAGTTTCAAATATAACTTGCGGCCGGATCAGCAAATTCAGACTTGGATTCTTTTAAGCCTTCTCCGCCAGAAATGATCATGTGTGACGATTGGTCGTCAGATAAGATACACTGCATTAATGGAAGTATAGTGATGATTGTCTTTTGCTTCACTGCGGAAGTAACTCCAGAATGTACTGTATCTAGTGTACCCTTCGAAATACATGGAGTAAATTAACCTCAGGAATACCCTGTAGATTCAAACAAATGAAAAACCAAATTTCACTATTTTCTAGCTTTTAGATAGCTCACAGCAAAGCTACGAGGTTCAGAAAATTGTACGGAAAATCCCTCTCATTCCATGTTCATCGTCTCTCGCTCGCCTCTTCTTCACGACTTGAAAGGAAGTTAGATGAGAAAGTGTTGCACTTGTTCCTACCGCTGACATGGCTACCTGATACTGTGCGAACAAATTCAATATTGCTGTAGACTTTGTGACAATGATGAAGAAACTTGACGCAATTCATGAATTCGAAAGAATATTGGTACTTTGTCCTACGTGTGACACACGTAATGTGACTTCTTCTACAGACTACAGCTGCTTGTGGGCTTGTACACTCTCCTTCTCTTTCACTCCGTTTCTCCCTGTCCTTAAAATGTGTCTCTCTGTCGTAAAGCGTTTGGTTCTAAGAATCAAAGGTGGATCGTCATACCGCACATCCACTTGTATGATCCCAACCTGTAAACCTTTTCCTTATATTTTGGAACGCTTATGGAGTTTTTCATCAGGATCAAGCTCACCTGCGTCTATTTGAAGTTGGTGTATCAGACTCACAGCATGTATAAAACGTGGATCTTGTGGGTGACATGGTAATTTCCTTTTGTTTTTAAGTCAAACGTGGATCTCGCGGTTGCTCGTAAGATAACGTGGGTACTTTTTCTGAAAGTTAAACCTGCTGGAGAATATTGTATACTGAACGATTAGGCAAGGTACATCGGCCCTTATTTAGCATGAGGGTTTATACTCTCACTGCCCTGTGGTCATTGGAGTGTCCTGCTTTGTCATAGTATTCACCGGTGGAGATTATTCTAGCCATCCTATTCTGCCTGTTTTCAGCTCAGGAAAGATCTTGAGCAGTTTCGTCATTTAACATCGTTGAAGTACAACCACTTCATGCAGCACGTACTGACTTCTCAAACACTCTCCAAGCTCGTACTACCCGTCCGGTCGCCTTTGCCTGGCTTGAGCTCAGCGATTGCAGTTTCTGATGCCTTCAATACAAAAATCTACATACTTTTGCATTATTTTTAGAGCTTTCCCGCCCCTGGCAGAGGATGAATTTGACAATCCAGCTAAGTCTCGATCACTGATGCACCGTATAGTACAACCTCGACGGCCATGGGTCAGGTGCCCTGAAAATTAAGATCACTGGACCGGCGAAAGTGTGACGATCGGGCAGAGTACGGGTGCGAGCTGAAAAGCTTGCTTAAGATGACGATGATGATTTAAAATGATAGCTCTACAAGCCAGCGAATTGAATTGATCTGCTTTGAATTGACACGCCCGATGAGCCTGAGCGATCCCAAGACGACACAAATGGCTTTGGCTCACAGGAAGGCGGGAGATGGACAGTGATCAAGATACAAGCAGTCGTTTATTCACTGAACTGAACTGAACTGAACTGAACTGAACCCGAGTGTAAGGTACACAGTGCTCACTAACTCGAGTTGGATGGAGATGGATACAGAGCAGTTTGACCACAACTCTGGTGTCCGATCAGGAGCTGAAGTGTTAACAGTTCAAGAAGATGACATGCGTGGGACTGACTGCTGATGGTCATCATCTTCTGGCAGATTTCGGGTAGGGTGCAAACTGAGAGGAAAATGTTGCAAACCTGAGCATCCATCCCTGTTAACGTATACCGTCGGTAGAAGCGGACTTACTCGGAAAGATCGGGATCAGGATCAGCCTCCGGTTCTATCGACGTTGCAATATGCGGTAGGAAGGATGTTATCATCCTGCCTATCCTTGACGTGAGAATTCGATGGGTCAACACGAACACCGAATGTAGTGTCGTCGGTGCTGCACATTCCATTTACCTTCCTATAGGAAAAGATTGATCGAGTAAGGAAGGAAGATGATTTCCTGGCGAAAGCCAAGGCATCTCGTCTTTCCTAGCGAGGCTTCCGTTAATTGAGTGCCTCATTTCGTATCAAGGCATAAGTAGACGAGTCAGCTACTTCACAAGGGATGTTGGGAAGGAGGGAGGGAGGCCCTCCCTCCCTCCCTCCCTCCTCCCATCATGGCCCATTTAGGCTTAGTCCTTCCAAAATGGATTCAGACAAAAAGATCGAGCTGGAGCATTTGGAGATAAAAGTTAAGACCCGGAAGACCGAGAGGGAAGTGTATGTGAGCCAGCAGCCTCCCTCTCAATCTAGCTTTCTTTCGGTAAGCTGACAAGATGGTTACGGTCAGCGCGATATCCTGCTCCATATACTTTTCAGCCCGAATTATTGTAAATCTTGCACTGTCGGGGCCCCATTTACATTCCCTATTGAACAATTTGGCTGGTATCGAGGTTCTGCAGTACGGGTCAAAGGGGCCTATTAACAGAGAGAGACTTAGGAATCAAGGTTCCCCCAAGTATCCAACATACACATACCGAGCATAGCACATCGTAAGAGGAAGCAGTTCTTTTTTAGAATTTTGGAAAGCCTGAAGAGTGCACTTTGTGCAATATCCAGCGAGCAAGAAGAAGCTGATCGCAATATAGAATATGACAAAGTCCTCACGGAAGTCCATAGTTCTCATAAAATATCCACTAGGTACATAAAAAACAGCTATTTTTTTCCACCATTCTTTTAAGCTTTTATTTGGTTGCTGATCAAGTAAATGTGGATTGGAACGTAACCCAGATGTAAGTTCTTTGGTATGTTAGAATAATGTGGCCATATCATATAGGACAGCTATTGAGTCAAACATGCCTGAGCTAGAGCATATATTATTGGGAGCAGTAGCCAGCACCTCTTACCTTACAGAACAAGCGAGTGGAAGATTTATTTCAGTGTTCAACCCCGAACCAAAACAAACAGTTGATACTGAAAATGGTGAACGAAAAGGATTCTGGACGTAATGCCACAAACAAAGAGCTTCACATCCACACTTATCCTCTCTCCTACGGATCACGAAACTACTCGATCATAGAAGCGAGACACTACAAACTACTGAGTAAGCGTCCATACCAAATCTTAACAAGGTCTTGGCCCGACAGAGAGCGGAGAAGCACGAAATTGTCAGCGGAGAAGAGCAATACCAAAAAATTCAGGAAGATTTCTTCATCACGATCAACGCAGGGTAATACGGTTGTGTTGCTGCATTCATGAGTTGGACAATTTCATCACAAGAAGCAGAGATATCACTTTCAAAAAATAAGGTCTTTTTGATATAAACAAGAGGAGTTTATAACACAAGAGCATAGTTATATCATATGCTTCTATTTAATTTCACATGGAGATTAAAATATGGATAAGTATTTTTCGTGGAACGTAATGTGAACCCTTGCTTCTGTGAATCTCATGAATGGTATATAAAATGATTGCTCTTGTGACATATAAATGTCTATAAATATCCAATACTATTCATTTAAAGAAAAAACCCTATGTTTCGTGGTATTGAGCTTCACGAGTCTAAAATTCCATCCGAATAAACAACATAAATGTTGGTAAAAATATTAAAAAGAAAATCTCAATGGAACAACTCCTTCCTTTGGTCTGGATGGCCAAAATTATCATTTGTGTTTTTAATAACCCTTACAATATCATGCCGATTACGGGTGTAGGAAAAGTAAATAACAGAGGTGTATTTTAGGATATCGAATTGTCTTTACTATCTGAAAGAAAGCTCAAGGAGATATAAAATTGGGTTTGGTAGACTCTAAAAAAGGAGTCCAAAAGTTTTAGAAGTATTGCAGGGTGGAAGTCAAAAGCTTTTAAAGGTTTGGTATAGATTTCAAAGCGCTTCAGAAGGGATCATGAGTAAATCTAGGGTTCTTCATAATACCTTAGACGTGAGTTGGCAGATTGTTAGGT